GAGCTGGCCGAGTAAGGAACCACGGCCGCGGGGGCGCGGTCTCGCCTGGGCTGGCGGGGAGGGGGGGAGGCGGAGAGCCGGCGAGGAAAGAAGGCATACCTACAGACATTCGACGTCCTGCTTTATTTTCAACACGGGGTCCCGGAAGTCCCACGACCCCTTCCATGGGGCCGGCTCCTCCTCCCGAGCCGATCCCACGCGGCCCCCCGAGCCTGGCGAGGGCACAGGACGAGGCCGACGAGCGACGAGCAAAAAGCACCTCCCGCCCCGACCTTTTCTCACGACGCGAGCGCGCGTCTGCTGCACCTCCTTGGGGGGGGGGGGGGCATGCCTTTCTGTGGCGAGGCGGCCGCGCGCCCCGCCGCGAGCGCGGCACCCAGACATCCGCCGATCTGATTTTCGTCCATCCGCGGCTCCCAGAAAGGTCCCGCCTCCCCACTTCTGGGGGTGGCTTTTCGTTCCACGGACCCATGTTTGATTAGAGGTCAACAACTCCACCCCCATAAGAACCACCCCGACACGCGAAGCCGTTCAGCAAAAGCGCCCGAAGAAGGAATCGAACTGGGCGGGGCCGTTTATAAAACGCCCAAGGCCGCTTAGTAAACGCCAGATGTCCTGCCCGGGTGGTTTTCCCTCCCTCGATTCATGGCCCTCGGGCCCGATCCCGGGCCCCGGAGGCCGACCGAACTCCAGGAGAACCCGCTGGGTTGAAAAAAACATCTCGATCGGATCTCTGGGCAAGCGCCCAGGCGAGCACCGCCGGGCCCGCAGGCGCTGGGGGGGCGCCGGGGAGCGGCGCTCCCGCCGCTCCCCTTAGGTCGGCTCATCTCTCCTCCTCCCTCCTCCTCCTCCTCTCCTCCTCGTCTCTCCTCCTCTCTCCTCCTCCTCCTCCTCCTCCTCCTCCTCCTCCTCCGCCTCCTCCTCCTCCTCCTCCTCCTCCTCCGCCTCCTCCTCCTCCTCCTTCTCCTCCTCCTCATCCTCCTCCTCCTTAACGCTCCCCGCTCGCAGCCGGGGCAGCCGCCGCTGCCGCGCGCGCCGAGGGCGCGCCGCTGCTACTCGCGCGCGGGGCGCCGGTGCCCGCGGCGCGCACGCCCAGCAGGCGCATGGCAGGCCGAAATGACCCCACGGCGCGCACGCCGAGGAGGGATGGGGGGGGCTCCAGCGAGGAAGAGGGGGAGGGTTTGAATCGATCCTTGTCGATTTCATTCTTCTGCTGATTCGCTCCATCCATAGCCATTTGGCTTCAGGCCCTCATTGTGGGACCGCAGGAGTCCCGGGCCGAGAGGCCCCGCCTTTCTCCCTCACTTCCAACATCTATACAACTGAGCCCAATACAATATACTTCCTATCCCTCTCTCTCATATACCCATCGGTCGGAAGAAGTAGGTAGAAAGATGAAGTAGGAAGGCGTTGGAAATAGATTGGGTATCCGCCCGCTTCCTGAAGAGGAAGGAAAAGGGAAAACCACTCGACTCTTGAAGTAGGAAGGCGCTGAAAGTAGATTGGAATCTGGAAATCCAAAAATACCTACTTTCAACGACCGGTGGGTAATCGTGCTGGTGTGTGTGTGTGCGTGTGCTGGTGGCGCTGACGGAGACAGAGCGCCACGAGGAAAACGAGAGCTGCCCGAGGTGCATCCTGAGAGACGAGGAAGTTTGCCCTGTGAAGCTTCGCTTCACATGGTAGCGGAGCAGGTTTCTGCTCCATGGAGAATATTCACGGGAACATGCCGATGTTGAACGGGAGTGCTGGCACCTGGGAGCGATACCAGCAAGATGTCATGAACTACGTGGACGGCACCAAGTGGGAGGACAGGTACCTGTGCGGCCCCAGGTTGGTCGCGCGCTTGTCTGGCCCAGGGGCGACGGCATGCATAGGCAGGCCGAGAGGATGGTTGTTGAACATGTGGGGAGCAGATCGCCTTTTGGAGTATCTGCAACAAAATGTGATGCGGCAGCCTGTGGAGGATGTCGGCCACTACATGGAGGAGTACTTCGTGAAGCTGCGGCGCAAGCGCGGCGAAAGTATGGCCGAGTACTGTCTGCGTGTGCACGAGTGCTACCAGAGGCTGCGAGTGGCACTAGCGAGGACGATCGACAAGACGGAGGTGGTGAAGACGCCGACTACGACATCGACTACTTTCGGGAAGTGGCCAGTGGACTCGGGGTCGACGTCATGGCATCAGATACCTAGCGGTGGAGAGGGTACCGCTGGTGATGTTGACGCTGACGAAGTCCAAGACTGGGATGGTCGAGGCTGATAGTGATCGTGGCTGGTGGGCACCTCAGAACTGGTGGCGAGGCGGCTGGAACGGCGACGATTGGCGCAAGTACGGCTACGGCTCGCATAGCGTGTGCACGTTCCCGACGCAGGACCTGCCTGAGGTACTGCCCAGCATCGTCAGTGGTTGGTACCTACTGCATCGGGCTGGCCTGGACGGCGGTGAGATAGCGGCGGTCATCGGCTCGGGCAAGGGCGACTTCACTGTGGAGAGTGTCGA